CATTTTGGTGGGCTATAGTCCATGCATTTTGATCAAAAATGGACCATTTTTGGGCATTTTGGTGGGCTATAGCCCATGCATTTTGATCAAAAATCGACCATTTTTGGGCATTTTGGTGGGCTATAACCCATGCATTTTGATCAAAATTCGACCATTTTTTGCCATATCGGTGGGCTCTACCCACGCATTTTAATCAAAAATCGACTACTTTTTTCGCTAGCTTGACAAGAGTAAACTGTTATATGTGCTCAATAAAAAACAGCCTGGCTTTTTATGTCTGCTATAAACTTGATGACTGTTTTTGTTATGTGCATTGCATAGAATTAAGGTCAAGCTTAAACTTTTGGTTTAATTTTCATCTCAGATCTCTTCAGAGAATAAGAATGACCTTTCCAGTCAGACCAAACGACACCCTTAGCAAACTGACTATTTTTTCCACGTAAGTAAAGACCATTTAAATTACTATCATGGCAAGCATTAAACCACCAGCCACCTGTGTACAATGAAGCGCAATGATTATATAAACTTCTGTCGTTGTCACGATCCTTTGTGGAGAAAGCCATACCATTTATGGAGTTCTTGGGATTGGTGAGAGAGTCAGCAACATTTCCTGCAAACATAACAGGTCTTTTATTTACTTAAATTTCACGATTTCCCTTGGGGAATTAACGACTAAATCAATGGCTATTTAGCCGCCTTTTTATTTGTCTCAAAGCTCCAAGAAATGCCCGGATTTTAACATTGTTGAAATGTCAATACTCCAGTTTCGCGAGATTTTATTTGTGCAGTCTTAGCCTCGAAAGCATGTATTATATTCTTTTATTCAACAGAGAATCTATTGCAATGCAAACACCCTGTGTACAAAGAAGACAATATCCTTGATTGAAGCTAAGCTTGAACATAAGAGAATTCAAAACTGGAGTATTCCCCTGTTATTGCCCGCGCGTAGGGGAGATGTTTCAATTGACTTAATTGGCATTAAAACATTGTGAAATAATCAGATTAGCTGTATTGATGATTGAGATATTGTTCTTGATTAATCCCATTCTCATTATACCCAGATCCTTCTTAGATCAATTTTAACAAGTTTTAAGTACGGGCTTGGTTACAAAAAAAGATTAGATTTCTATCTAGACTTCATCAAAAGGGTATGAAAAACTGGGTTATCAGAGCGCTCGCTCGGGTTCTGACCTGTGTAGTTGTCAATTGAAACGCGATACTTGTTAGCTTCATCAGCCACACTGAATGAGTCGTACTCCGCGTATCGCGTGTTTCCCTCGAAGTCTTCCAAGTCAACGCGCAGCCGGAGTTTGCCTAATGACGTCATAGCGTGGATACGATCTAGTCCCAGCCAATATTCACCGTTTTTGTCACCAAATCCCCGCTTGTAGTCGGCCCATCCACGGTTAAAATCAACTGAGCCGTCAAGCCGTCTTTGTATGATGCATGGCCAGAAAATCCGGACATTTGAGCCCGCAATCGCAGCGGTACTTCGCATAAATGCATAAAAACATGAATGTAAATTTTACAAAGAAATGTATGGATCAAAAAAAACATTTGAGAATAACATTTCATCTGTTTTAATTGGAAAAATTCCATAGATGGATTCGTAAAGGGAAACCATTCTTGATTCCACTGTAGGAAATCCAAAGAAATCCAATATTGTTAACAGCGTCCATTTTGACAATATATTTTCCTTTCGTCGTCTCCCTTTGGCCTTGTATCTCATGGTGAAAATTCGCGAAGAAGCGAAATTTCACCGTGGCTGATCGTGTTCCTTTACATTTCACTGAAATTCCATAGATCACTTCTCAAAGTCCACATATTGAAGTAGGAACACAGCGATTTTCCGCTATTTTGAAGACGATCAACAGCGTCCATTTTGGTACTAGAAATCGTACAAAAACTAACTTGACGGTGAAATGGCTGGCGAAGACGCGTGTTTCACGCGAATAATTGGCCTCGATCTTCCATTTTCTTTTCATTTTATACGCCATGTTTGGTACCAAAATAAACCTTAGAAACGTGGCTTTCAGACTAGCACTACTTTAATTTTGTCGGTTTTTACTGGCGCCTTGCGCGCAGTGGTGAATAGCGGGAAATACGAACGAAAGATCAAGTGTACGCTATTTAGTGTAAACAATGTCAGACCTTTTAAATTCCTTACAAATGTACAAGTATAAACAAAAGATCACAATATCAACTGATGATCATTGTTTAAAATACCCAAGGGAAACGTGTGTTCCAGCAAACAATATTATTTACACTATGAACATTCCAAACGACCACCTTACAAGGCACTAATGAACTCAAGGATCAGAGCGTGCTATCCCAATACTCGTTTGTCGATGTTTTGAACGTTTCGATTTTAGCCCAGTATTGTATTAAGATAAAGGATCATTGCACAAGAGTAGAAAATTTGATCTTCAAAAGTTCAAACCTCAAGGGAACTTGTAGAAAGCTCTATTTTGGTGGGAAAACCCGCTGACTCGTTCCGGGCTCAAATGTCCGGAATTTCTGGCCATGGGTCCATCCTCCGTTAGTCGTTACAATGTCGCAATAGACATAGAAGGACGGTGGGGGACTGGGTTTGATGCGGTAGATTCCATTTGAGTACTGCTTGTTTTGGCTGGTGATGGCCGCACAGTCTGATGGCAAACTTGGGTACAGTAAGAGAATTATGGGAAGTCTAAGAAACAATCGAAAAAATAATTCAATGGATCGAAGGCTAAAAATACTGATAAGATATATTCCATACCAAAGGTGGGGAAAAGAATTTTTTTAAAGGATTTTTTTAAAGGATTTTTTTTCACATTTCATTGCTAACGGTTAATTTTCACGTTAAATAATTGAGACGCTTTTTTACCTTCCACTTACAAGTAGAAACTCGAGCAACAGATTCTAGAGCATTGTTAATTAAAGTTTTCGATACGAGATGTTTTGAATGACTTGTTCCCTAACTTTTTTAAGTATGATATAGAGACACCAAACATTTTTTGTTTTGTAGTGTGTACTGATATCAAAGAATTGTATGTCATTCGTGCGGGTTCCCTGTGCTTTTTAGTTTTGAACTTCATTTAGTGAATACCATATATGGAAACAAACAAAAGCCGATTGTTGAGAAGTGTTTTTGCTATAATATCTGCAAGTTTAAGACGATTTCAAGCTTCAAAAGTCGAGAAAATCGACAAAAACCATTCCTATCTTACTTCCAAATAAGGTAAGATTATCATATATGGCTGCTAAAAGAAGGACAACTTTTGTGTGGCAATTCTTTGATATGTTTATACTTATATGTATATTGTAAAAATAAGAATAATTGTTGTTGTTGTTGTTGTTGTTGTTTTTTTTTTTGAAAATGTTTAAAAAATTTATATAAAAGGAAAAAAACAATGTAAAAAACTTCTATAGCTAAATTATGTTACCATATATAAATTATCAATATAGGTGAATATACAAATCAATATTAAAAAGATTCTAAAGAAAATTGTAAACAACAAAAGTATTTTGTGTGTATAATTCTTGTATGTATTTTGTATTTGTATTTGAAATAAAGACATTAAATTATAAAAACAAAGACTTGATAACACGCCATTGACCATTCCGAAATTCAAAAGGAGACAGGGAATGAGTGTGAAAATAGTCCTTTCATCGAAAACTGAACCTCACCACATGAAAGACCACACTACAATTCGTGTTCTTGTCAAGATTGAGACTATTTAGTTGAATACTCACCGAATAGGATTTTTTTTAAAAAATTTGCATTAATAAGAGAGAATATTTGGTTTTTGGGGACGCTGCTCAAGAGCCCATTCATTTTGATGTTTTTTCGAGTTTTAAACGCTTCCCAATCCGAATCCGCTCAAAATTTTAATGGTATGTTCCTGCTTGTCACATCCTGCCTCCCCATCCCGTTTGATCTGTTGATCTGCTTGTATAAATAAAATGATAGCGAGGGTTATACAGTTGAAGTTTGATTTAGTTCTTAAAAAATTAGTTATAATTTACAATGCATGCCTTATATTCTCTTAAAAATTCTAACACGGCTTTATGCCAAAATTGCGCAAAGTTCAGTTTAAACAATTAATTATGGATGTAACAATTGATTTGCATGTTAAATACTAAAAAACAACTAACTGCACGTTTCAAACACTTTCAATATAAAGAGAGAAACCTCGAATGTTATTTTCACTATAATGAAAGTAACAACTTTACGTCATGGAAAAATATAGGTATTTCATACATAATTATTATAGTGGTCGATCCATTAGAATTGTTGTTGGAAGAGTTTGAAAAAAAAATCGTGCTCGGCAAAATTTTGAAAAATCTGCACTAAACCTGCACCAAAACTAAACCTGCACTGACAAAATCCTCAAAAAAAAAAACCTAAAATGCAAAATAGAATGATTTTAGTCTTTTTTCGTCAGTTCCGTTATTTTTTGGCCTCTTTGCCTCTAAGACCACTCTGTTTTATCAGAGTATTCTACTTTTATTTAATTCCTATAACTTACCGGCAAGGCGTAATGATTCACTTTCAAAACTTTAGTCAAATTTTGGCCATATTCGTATTTATCAAAATCCAAATGTTCGCAGTCAAAACGCCCATTGTTATCTGCAGTCATATTCACATTGGCAGACATGCACCGGATATCGGCAATGCACTCAACCAGACAGTCAAAATAGCTCAACAATTTCTTCGTCTTCAAAGGATTCCCCTTAAGTCTGTATCCTTTGAGATGGATAAAATTTCCAAACATGACTCCGTCTTTTTGCCCTTTTACTTCAGGATCAAGGGCGAGTACAGGCATTAAACAGCCATAAAGCAGAGACTCAGAACTTTGATAATCATTTTGAGGTGCGATCTACACAACCTTTGGTGAAAACGTACCTTGTCTTAGAAGCGAGCCTAATAAATACTGAAACTCCCCAAAGGTAAATTTTCACTATTCCTATCCATTTATCTTTGCCCTTATTTAGTTGTCAAATGAAGGATGAAGTGACATGTACTGTCTAGCTTTTTAATCAACAATTAAATATGCTTTTAATCTCATCTGCATCTCCCGCCGAGAAAAAATTGTATTTTCACCTGCCCAAATTCGAAAATAAATTGTTTACATGGAGTAGGTACGATTGAGGCATTAAATGGTCTACCCGTACACCGCTGCCGTAATTCTTGTCTTCTTGGAAAATGTCTTCTATTAATTAATCTCCTTCGCATCCGAAGAGATTGCGCTTCGCGTTTTGACACCGGAAACGGATGCGAAGGAGATTACTTTTCTACTGGATCCTCTATTCAATCTCGTACCCACTCAGAGCCCGAACTTCTGCCGTCAAGCGGAAAGCAATGCGTGCGATAATCTGCATTATATAGCGAGGATGTAACACACGATTTCATTGGCTAGAAAGCGGACCGTACTTTTCCGGTCTTTCCCGTGGGGAACAGATGAAACGAAAAATTTTTTTCTTATAATTTAAAAAGCTCGCTTTCTCTCTTTTTGTAGTTGTACTGTATAAAACAGAGTCAAAAATGAATCCAAATTTTGCCATCGAAGTTGACTTTCAAGAGGAAGAATTCCCTGCATTTGTCCCAGGGAGTACGATTCTCCATTAATTTTACTATTTTTCACTGAAAATGCTATGAATATCTTGCTCGAGCCGTACGGGAATTTATGGATAACTTCATGTACGGCCCACGTGCTCGTTTATTAACCCTATTCAGACTGGGAGGGGGGGGCTTTTGAGCCCACTTCCCCTCCCTCGCTTAAAATGCCAATAACTTTCGAAGCAAGACAGCTACAGCTCTGAAACTTTCGGACTTTTCCTAAAATTTATCTTGGCAGATTTTGATGTAATTTTTATGTTGATATCGTCATCCATGTTGCCACGGCAACCAGTTTTTAACGCATAGGTTTTCAAAAAAGCAAAATATGCTTAATTTTTCATTTTTAAAGCTTATTTCTTGTTTTGTCATGTGACGTCATATAGAATGGAGGGCAATTAAAACAAAGAAAAATATTATTTCCAAGTCATTTCAATAAAAAACAGATGATATTGCAGCATTTTGTATGGCATTGTAGGCATTTTATGAAAATGCGTTATAAATCGTTAAAATGACTGAGATGACGGCATTATGACGTCAAATTTCGTTCCCACGGGTCAAGATTAGGTGTGGTGGTTCTTTGTACGTGGGCGATCATCATGTGAAAATTTCATGGTCATAGACTATTGGTTCCGAAGATATAGAGGGGGAGCCGATTGCAAAAAAAAAGCTGTCTGAATAGGGTTAAGATATTAGGATTTCGTTATTTTATTCTCGATTGGTTAAAAAATAACGTGAGCAACGCATTGTTTTCAAGTTGGGTTTTCAAGTCGCCAGCGAGCGCTCGCCTTAGTCAAAAAAATAATCTTTTTCTCGTATAACTTACACATGCTATTTTTAACACATTTTTGTTTTTAATTGGTAATTGATTACTACATTTGTGCTATTGTGCTGTACATTAGCAAGGAAATAAAATCGTTATGTTAGAGCTTGGGGCATTATTATTATGATAATTCATTAATTGCATATGTTAATAGCATATATCGCTTTCGCCCCAACCGTGCCCCCTGCCCCCCACCCCCAAAAAACAGTCAAAACGCCCGACGAAAAGGACTATACACTTCCAGTTCAATTCACATTTGGGGTTGTGGTAAACGAGTCGAAGAACAAGCGTCGTCGGAAGAGATTAAATATTTAAGTCAGAGTGCTTGATGACAGTTTCAACTAAATCTGTGGTGATGTGATGCCAACTTAATATGAACTAAAGCCTGATCCGCGTACGGAGCTCGCGTCATTTGTAAAACGTTTGAAATAACAATATATGTGATCACTTGTTCTGGTCAACCAGAACGAAAGTCAGGTTGGATGGAGTCATCCGTTTGTGTGTTCTTGAATTTATTTTTTTCCGAACATATCAAACAATTGCCCCCACAAAGTTATCCTTCGTTTAGCAGCCATATATGGTAATCTTGCCTTATTTGGAAGTTCGATAGGAATGGTTTTTGTCGATTTTCTCGACTTTTAAAGCTTGAAATCGTCGGAAACTTGCAGATATTATAGCGAAAACGCTTCTAAACAATCCGCCATTTTGTTTGTTTCCATATATGGCATGGATTCGCTAAAGGAAGCCCAAAACTAAAAAGCACAGGGAACCCGCACGAATGATATACAATTCTTTGATATGATTTATTTCCAAGAGCCTTTCATCCGGAATAACCTCCTTCTAAGCAATATTCCTTTCCTTTATTTCTACATCATGTTCTATAGCACCTCCGTTTTCGACCAATGTGCGTGTATTCTATACCAAATATTGCGTGTTTTATTTTCACCCTTAGTCTATGTTTTGCGTGACTTGTATGCAAAGAAGAAAGGGTTAATTTTAATCTTCAATATTTAGGCTTAATTTTCATAACGGACCTCTTCAGAGAATAATAATGGCCTTTCCAGGTATACCAAATTACACCCTTTCCAAACTGGCTAGTGGTGCCACGCAAATAAAGACCATTAAGATTACTGCGGTGACAGTCAGCATACCACCATGCGGCAGAGTATTTCACGGCGCATGCGTCATTGCTCGTGTCTTTGTCTCGATCTTTGGTGGAGAAAGCCATATTATTGTGATAGTGGAGAGAATCACCTGCATCACCTTAAATTAGAACAGAAAATACCCATAAGGCATAGAATTAAAGGCAGCAGGAGTTATGCTGGTGATTTAATACTCCAGTTTCGAATTCTCCAATGCACTGTGTTAGCCTCATTTGTGCGCAAAATATTCCTTATTGTGAGCGTAAAAGTGTGAGATTTCAAATCAAATTTATTGTCTTTCTTCATAAATTCCATGCGTTTTTTCGAGCTATCAATGAAACAAAAGAATATGTTACTTGGTTTTGAGGCTAACACAGAGCAAACCAGAACTCGAAATTGGAGTATTGTGATGATGTTAGTTGTGAGGCTCGATGGTGTTGTTACTGTTGTAATTGGTTGTGGTGGTGGTGGTGTTTGTGGGAATGACAGTGGGAATATTGCTGGTGGGTTTGATGAGGTTGATATTGGTTGTGGTKKTGGTTGTGGGAGTGTTGGTGATTGTGAGAGAGTTTGTGACGGTGGGKATRTTGCTGGTGKGTTTGATGAGGTTGATATTGGTTGTGGTKKTGGTTGTGGGAGTGTTGGTGATTGTGAGAGAGTTTGTGACGGTGGGKATRTTGCTGGTGKGTTTGATGAGGTTGATATTGGTTGTGGTKKTGGTTGTGGGAGTGTTGGTGATTGTGAGAGAGTTTGTGACGGTGGGTATGTTGCTGGTGTGTTTGATGATGTTGGTATTGGTTGTGGTAGTGGTTGTCGTAGGAGTGGTGGTTGCAATAGTATTGGTTATATGGGGATTGTGGTAAATATTGTTGTTGTCTGTGTTTACGGTAGGGTTGGTGGTTGTAGTAGCGATATTGGGTATGATGATGTTGCTGTTGGTTGCAGTGGTTGTTGTGAGAGGAGTAGTTGTTGCATTGGGGATGGTGGTGGTGGTGTTGATGGCGGTTGAGGCTGTGGTAGCGTGGTGTAGTTCTTCCTGATGACAGTAGTAATAGTCATTGTTTATTTCAGCTTTGGGAGTAGAACTACTTATACCACACCTGAGTAGTTGCCAATAGAAAGGCGAAAACTGTTAGCTTCATCAGCGATACTAAAAGTATCGTACTCCGCGTATCGCGTGTTCTTATCAAAGTCTTCCAAGTCAACACGAAGCCGGAAACTTCGTTGTGACGTCATAGCGTGGATACGATCTAGTCCCAGCCAATATTCACCGTTCTTGCTACCAAACCCCTGTTTGTAGTCGTTCCAAGCGCGGTAAAAATCAACCGCGCCATCCAGACGTCTCTGTATAACTGTCCATCCTCCGTCAGTAGTTACCATGTCACAATAGACATAAAAAGACGGTTGGGGATTGGATTTGATGCGGTAGACTCCATTTTCCTGCCGTTTGATTTTATCGATGGCGGCACAGTTGSCTGGTAAATTATTGTACTGGAAAATAATTGAATAAAACGACTTATCAAGTATTGTAAATAATTTAAAAAAAAATCCTACCTCAAAATTACATGATTTTATTCGGCCATTTTATGAACAAATAATAGCATGTTTTGTGCGTGAAATTTGAGATAAGTAACACTCCTTTCGCTCGTAAAACTTTGATGGACAATTTTGAAATATCACACGTGGTATTTATCCTAAATATCACTACAAAACATACTATTACCTATATACATATATGTCATCGTAAGACCATGAAAGACCATACTACAATTAGTGTTCTTGTCAAGTTGGAGACACTATTTTAGTTAAATACTCACCGAGTAGGAATTTTTTTTAAATTTGCATTAATAAGAGAGAATATTTGGTTTTTGGGGACGCTGCTCAAGAGCCCATTCATTTTGATGTTTTTTCGAGTTTAAAAACGCTTGCCACTTTGTAGGTTAGAGAAAAGTTTTTCCGTGAAAACAAAGCCCCGTTCAAGCGTCTTCTTAAACTATCCGCTTCCCCACCCCACCCCTACCCCCATCCATCCCGTTTGATCTGCTTGTATAAATAAAATGATAGCAAGGGTTAAACAGTTGAAGCTTGATTTACGTCTTAAAAGATCAGTTATAATTTACAATGTATACCTTAAATTCTCTTGAAGTTTTTTATATGTAATAGGACTCCATGCTGTCCAATYAAGAAATAATTGGACGAGGAAAATTCCGAGGACTGCTAAAAATTGGACGAGGCCGTGGCCGAGTCCAATTTGGCAGTAAGAGGAATTTTTCGAGTCTAATTATTTCTTAATTGGACAGCATGGAGTCTTATTACCTATTAATTATATAGCCACATATTGATCCCAAATAGGTAAAAGCCAATCAAAGCTTTTAACAATAACAGTAATGACACCTTCATTTTTAACAAAAATTAACTTTTATTTATATCAGTAACAAATCAGTGTTACAACATTTTGTCAATAATCATATAGCAAAAACCCAATTGAAAACCTGTCCAATTAATTTCTTAATTGGACAGGATTCCAAAATTAACGAAAAATCCAGCTTTTATCTATTTGGGATTAATATGTGGCTATATAATTAATGCCAAAATTGCGCAAAGTTCAGTTCACACAATTAATTATGGATGTAACAATTAATTTGCATGTTAAATACTAAAAAACAATTAATTGCACTTTCAGTATAAATAAAGAAACCTCTAATGTGGAATAACATGTTTTATTATATATATATAACGAGACTTTCATAGAGTAAATGGCATAAATAGAAATCTATATGCTATATTTTCACATGTGAAAAAAAGCTATATGTCCAATCAGAAGCGCGTATAGCATTTCTCACACTGTAAAAATATAACCAATCACAACACAGAAAAACCGTAATCAGCCAATCAGAAAGCGACGTTCACAACACTGAAATGGCTTCTCTTAGTCACATACCGCGCGTTGATGGCAAAATGGCTGAAGGTGAACTGTGTTTGTTGATCAAAATTCCACATTTGAAGAGTTTATTAGTGGACAGGAAGGCAAACAAACTAAAGCAAAATAAGAAGAGATGTTTTTCTTCAAGAGAATTAAGTTTTTTGCCATCCAGAATGAACACGAAAGCATGGAAAACATCAGCCAAA